TTTCTACTCGGATCCAGAGCATACATGGTATTTCTAGTCCAGCCAGAGCCCTCTTTCCTATCGAAGCCATTTACGCGATCGCCATGTGGGTTCGCTTAAATTTGCGTGGTCAACGCTTTTACTGAGCATCATGCAGCGTAATACGACAATTGTTACGTTGTATCGTGATATAGCATGTCCTCGGCGCAATATACTACTACATTTCAGGAGGCTATACAAATACGATGCAGAACATTTGAGCTGTAAAATGGGGATACTCACGGACCAACTGAACGGGAGGGGAACCACGGAGGAAGACGATGGCTTCCACTGGAATACTACTCCGTACATGCGTTCACCATTTACTATTACGGAGGGGTGTTGCCTCTGGCTAAGCCACCGTTTGATTGATCCTTGTGGGAGTAACACGAACCGCCAATGTCGGCAGTGGCCTGACATGCAAAGAGTCCGGTCGTGTTACTCGTGGCGCCCTAATGCAAGGCCCGGCGTATGTGACCACGTCGTTCATATTGGCGATGTTACGAGCCCGCCGCGGACCCTGGCACTTTTGCCCGTCGTCCCATCACGGCCCGCATTGCTTCCGTCACAGAACCGCCTTGCCACCGTCGTCCCCGTTGTCCAGGTTCCCTATCAGGCAAATTATGTTGTGTTGTGCGAATTGGGTCTCGAATGGGCGGTGGTTTCGCCAACTGGTATGCACCCCGGACACAAGGAGGAGAATTGGGCACCTGAGCGGCTATGAGATGAATTCGAAAAGAGGGAGAGGGGGAAGAAAAAAGAGAGAGGATAACAAAAACAAGGAAAGACCGCCTGGCGCAAGTCTAAAAAGCAAAGATCCGCCCGGCTATTCTATCGACAAGTAAGATGTAAAGCTCTCCCACCATGGAGTGATATATCCAAATATCCGCCTCCTTGCTCAATTGCTTGTACATTACGGCAGGTGCAACATCCGGACTTGCATTCTACATATGTACATGGCAAGCCGACAGAGCGGGCCATAAAATTGTCCGCTGCATGTGATTTCCGCAGGGTCTGTTCGTCCCATGTCACTGGGACGCTCTGGCTATTGTGACCACGTAATAATTTGGCCTCTCCGGGAGGAGAAGAAGCCGGCCCAGACCGCTACTACTACTACTACTACTACTCCGTGGTACATACATACTACTCAGACTCTTGTCATATTCTTCTTTCTGACCGGATCCCGCTCCCGATGCTGGGGTCTCCTGGCTTTGGGCTGCCATGGCCCCAGGTCTCACTTGGCTATTTTTTTTTTCGAATCCACAATAGCCCCTTGTCATGCGGAATCAGTCGAGTACTCATTTGCCTGCCGGTCGAGTCGAGTCGCGGAGAGAGAACGGAGCATTCAATGGCGTCTACTACTCGCGCCGTCCAACTTCCCAGCAAGGAAAAGTCGTCTCTGGGCATGAATGCGAGGAATCGATTAAGCCGTGTTGATCACCTCTTTTTAGCGTCGTCCAAACACGCGTCCCCAGTTGAGAGGCAAGAATCTGGCGGTCATCTTGCATGAGGGCCAGTACCGGTGCCATGGGAAGATGGACGTGCCCCTTTGCAAGTGCCCACTTGGTTGCATGCGACTTGTTCCGTAGGGCCATTTCAGCATCTAGACATTGAGCACGGGGTTACGGGAGTACGATGGAGCATGGTTGTGTTCCGGCTGAGTTGTTGAATGCCGTTCAACATGCTCGTCCAAGGGCTGAGCGGACTAGAATCTCGCCGGTGCCTGTTGCGATGCCACGGGGTTGAACTGCAGTGGCTGAATTAACAGTGCATTTGGTCACGGTACAGCATAGCAGTTTGTTGGAATCTTGATTGTGAGTATTTTAGTGTTTAGGGTAGCCAGCTGGTTTGATCGCGACATGCCGTATGTGAACAAACGGAACCTGCTTCGTCCCATGTTGTGCATTTACAAAGGTCCGCGACATGGGATTTTAGTGTAAAATGCGGTGAAGCGTGAGTCTGGTTCCAAACACTCACGAATCTGTCCGGTCCGGTCGTATGGAGGTACTATCTCGGGACTGTGTTAGCACCTGTTGCCTGCTTACTCGGCTGTGGCGAGGTAAATCATCTTTCACCCGACATATTACAGCACCTTGAAAATCCATCGTGTTATTATAAACTACGAGCTCGAAAAAAAAAAGAAGAAGAAAAATCATATCCAGGCTGGATAAAGACGAAGAAGAGAGATACGTCGAGAAGATCAAAAACACCACACAGGTTCCGGGCCAAGTGGGCAATGCCTAAGCTGTGTATATGTTGCCAAAAATGGGTTGAAAATCATATTGTTATCAATATCGCCATTATTACTACTAGTATTACATGTTGGTACTTTAATATTGTGTTAAATCCCATCCATGCCAGAACTTCGTCGTGACCCGTGTCTAAATGCCTACCCTATTCCAGAGTGGCAACATGCGCAGTTAGTAATTTGTAGTCGCTGATTGGCTCGGCCGGATGCGGCATTACTCAATCATGCCACACGGTAACCGAAGCCCCATCCGTTTGTCGATGCCTTTGTCAGCCGACCTGGAGAAGACAATCGATTGCTTCTTCCAACAAACACCTCGTGAAATCCAGCATGAGCAACCCTGCCAGTCCAGCAGCACCATTACTGAACTGATTTCGCGAATACAATTTGGACCTCATGCCGCCGAGATGAACGCCCGCACTCTGGTAGCTCGTGTCGCACTCCGACAAAGTTGCCACTCACTTCGGCAGATTTCGGCGCGTCGACAATTCGCCTCAGCATATCATTCATACTCATTACCGACATCCACCACCCGCAATGTCAATAGGGATAGCATTCCAGAGACCCCGATAGCCCCCCCAGAGGCTCTGCCACAGGTCCACGAGACACGCCCGCCACCAAGACAAGCAACTCCCGCAACACCGCCCGCCACTCCAGACTCGAAAGCGCCAGCGAAAGAGCTAGCGAAAGAGCCAGCGTCAATCTCAAAGGCAAGCGAACCAGCAGCACAAAAGCCCAGAGCTACGCGCCCACGGCCAAAGTTACGTCCTCGGAAAGCGGCCATGAAACTCACGCCCGCCGCTGTAGAGCAGCTTCGGTCGATGCTAGACCAGCCGGAGCCCAAGATCATCAAAGTCGGCGTTCGTAACCGGGGCTGCAGTGGTCTGGCGTATCACCTGGAATATGTGGACAAGCCTGGCACATTTGATGAGATGGTCGAGCAAGATGGAGTCAAGGTGCTCATCGATAGCAAAGCCCTGTTTAGCATCATCGGAACCGAAATGGACTGGGCCGAGGACAAGCTGAACCAACGGTTCGTTTTCAAGAATCCCAACATAAGTACGTTCTTCTTCTTCTTTTTGCCTTGAACCGGGGAGGATCAAGCAGGCGCTGACCGGGATATACAGAGGAACAATGCGGCTGCGGCGAATCCTTCATGGTGTAAAACGCAGAGAAAGAACAATACAGCAACAGCGAGATAAGAAACATGCTCATACCGTCCCTGAGACGAGGGCGGCTATATATTACACAAACACTGCATCTCACGGAGCACAAATTTCTGACGAGGGAAGTCTCGTGCGGTTTCGCAGGTTCCTGACAACTCGGACTTTTGTATTGAAGGCCATTTTCAACACAATCGTCTCACGATACCATCAACCAGCACGACCGGCCGAAATCGTAGAAGATGTCATAGCATCATGTGGCGCATCATTGGACTTGTATTTCACACGGACGGCATATTCGCAGGAATGCCTGCAAAGTTATTAAATCATCAGTCCCACTCATTGTACATGTACTCACGGCGGACAAAGTCATTGGGAGGATTGTGCTAGAATGCTGCATTGAATAGAAACATATGTAGCGTAATGATACTAATGCTGATATGATCACTAAAAATCTCCATAGTCTTCATGTCCGATAGAGTCATAAATGACTGTTTAGTCGCAATTGCTTTGGAATTACTCGCTGGGTTCGTTCGATTCGACAACGAAGCGCGTAAGTGGCGTCACGTGGGTTGGCGTCGCGTGTTGCTTTCGATGTGGAAGATTCACGCCTGGGTTTGTCATTCGAGTTGACGATTCACGCGGGCCGATCAATACTTCCTTCCCATGGAAGAAGCACTTGGCTAACACATCCAAAGCAACAACCCAAGAAAAAACATATATAATTGTGCGCAGCTCAACCTCCACTACACTCCTCTGATTATCCCATTTGTAAACAATTCCCAAACGCTCTCTGCCCCATCCATTCTTGTATACAATTTCACATACCCGGACACGAGCTTCCGTTCAACGCACACGGGTTTGCCGATCCCCAATGGCCCTGTACGGCAAACGCAAAGACGGCAATCCCGCTGCCTCGGGCGCCAAAACATCCCGCAAGAAGTCGGCCATGCCAGCAAGTACCCCTGCGAGCATGCAAGTGCAACTCTCACGAATCGCCCGCTCCAGCCGTACGGATTTTGAGAAGCGAGTCTGGACGGCGCTTTGCCACATCCCCGAGGGCCAGGTCACTACCTACGGTCTACTCTCCAAGTACCTTGGCTCGTCACCCAGGGCGGTAGGCAATGCCCTGCGACGCAATCCTTTCGCACCTGAAGTCCCTTGTCACAGAGTCGTCGCGACTGGTATGACGCTGGGAGGTTTCAAGGGAAAATGGCCGCGGGATGGAGAGGGAATCACGCTCGATGAGAAACGAAGTCTTCTCAAGGGCGAGGGCATTAAATTTGATGATAAAGGCAAGGTTTTGAGTACACCGTGGACAGGGTGGTTGCAAAGGAGTGCATGAGCCTTTCTCCAATCTTGATGCTCTTGTGGTTGCGCTCGATAATGGCAACTTAATTGTAGGCCACACTCATTTCCTTATTCATTCATGTGTACGAATTGTATTTGGGTATCTACCAGGGAGTTATGGATAAATAGAGAAGAATTTTTGTGTCTGAAACGGAATCAAATTCATTGCCGCATTCCGCATCGTGTCGTTTCATCGTTTCATTCATATATACGTTGAAAATTTATGGCTCGAACAGCGCTATGGGCACTTCAAGTGCGGGCGTCCCGATAATGTCAGCCCGTAAGCGCTGTGCATGCCAGTCTCCTCGATACTCGAGCCTCTCATATGTTTGGGCTAAGCGAACCACTGCACCAAAGCGTGTCAGTAAGCAAAAATCTCCTTTCTATATGGACTTTGACGACTTATATCGACTCACAGCAAAAGGCCATTTCAGTCAAAGCAAAGTTCTGACCCACACATATCCTAGGTCCGCCACTAAACGGCGTATAGGTCCACGGGGTCGGGATCCAATGCTCCCAACGTTCTGGACTGAAAATGGCCGGATCAGCAAAATGTTTGGAAATGGGAGGATACAAGTCTTTTCGGGCATGCATGCCGATTGTGTTGATTGTGACCGTATCTCCCTTCAGGAGGGCGACGTCGGGTTGGCCAGGAGCACCTGGGATCACAGTGTCCTCTAAAGCTTGACGCATGTTGATCGGTACAGCTGGGTGAAGCCGAAGCACCTCGTTGAGGACATTCTTCAGGTACTGTATGTTCTTTAGTGTTTCATACGTCGGCATGCCGTGGGGACCTAATTCGTTGAGGATCTCCTCGCGCAGCTTCGCCCAAGTCTCGGGGACATATGCCATCTCATACATAGCCCACGACAATGTAGCTGCAGTAGTATCCCTCCCAGCCAGGAGGACTGACATGATTTCGTCCCGAATTATTTTTGGGTCTTTTGTTACTCGAGCGATACTATGAAGAAAGGTATATTGAGTGTCAATTTTTGAAAGCTCCTCGAGCTCATGTTGAGGTAATGAAATAGCGCGTTGGATTATTGGTTCAATGAATTCTTCCAGTTTTCTGATGGAACGATAATAATCTCCTTTTGGAATCAGAGGGGCTATTGGACTGTAGGATTTGTTAAAACGTGCTTTGCGACAATGGTTCAGGGAAATGGCATACTTTAAGACGAATATGTACATTTGAATCCTTTGAGCGACAGACATTGCCTCTGCAACTTCATTATGGGGGCTTTATAGATGCCATAGTTAGCATATACAACCTTGTGAGTATGTAACTGGTTACTAGTTACTTACTTGTCCAGACTATTGGTATTTTCTCCCAGGAGAAACTCCGTAGTAGTATCCAGAGTCCATCTGTAAAACACGTCCTTGATGTCCACTGTCGTCCCAGATGGTGGCAACGTTGACAAGAGTTTCCTGGTACAATTGTCGAAAATCACCAGATTTCGCAGTCTGTCCTTGACAAACATTGGCCGAATTAGTCCCCTGCTGCGATGCCAATCATCACCGTCAGTCGCAAATATGCCCTTCCCGAGAAATGGTCGCCATAGACGGTGCCACTGGGGACCATGTCCGAAGTTGGCAAATTTGGTAGCTAAGATGGCCTTGATCTGCTCAGGCTCCCGTGTAATGAGAACTCTTTTCTTCCCGGTCAAACTAAACTCGGCATAGTTGCTTTGCTTGCTGTCCAATATACCATTACACCATTGGGCGAGCTTGTTATTATACTGATGGGTCCCAATATCAATATATAGTTTGGTAGCTGTATTTTGAAACGGCGTGTTAGTGAATAGAATCAATGCTGAAGAAATTGTAAAGTAGTTTCTTGCGTCTTCATACCGGAAAGCAGGTTGGCTGCTAGCACCGGCGCCCTGGTACCACCGGCGAGCTGAATTCGAACCCCAGCTACTTTGTGTCTAATCCATACGAGTGAGAAAGCGAAGACGCCGACAGCCACAATGGTAATCCATGATGGAGCGGACCGGATTTCTCGCATAATACTCATTATTTTCACAATATCAAAGTATCAATTCACAGTGAAGGAAGCAGAAAGATGGAAAAACGCCTGTGAAGAATGAGAATGGGAGAAATGCAAATGAAGGTGACCGATGTGATGAGGTTGGCCCATGTCGGCATAGGGCATGCGCGCAAGTTGATAGCTTCTTTTCATGGTCCGGGCTCCGGAAGCATACACACAATCTCACAACAAGCCGGAGAGTTGAAGGACGGGCCTCGTCCGGTTGGTGATGGGGGAATGGCTGGTTGTACGAGATGCATATTGCAAATCAGATGGCGCCTCTGGATTGGATGCATTCCGAGGTGCTAGGCAGGGGTCCGGGGGCCTCGTTCTAAAGACGATGGTGCGCATGGTGGAACTGCAACAGATCAATGGGGGATGCAGGGGTTTTGGTTGGTGAAGGTGCGAACGAAGAAAACACCGCCTTCGACGAACAATGATCGAATACCGGTGTAGGATAAGAGATGTGAAGAAACGAGATAAACGATGGAAGCTTTTGTCAGCCCTGTAACTGATCATGTGTCATCGATGCTTTTAGCATTGACCAGAGAGGAAGTCGCAACTGGTGGTTGCTGAAGGTGCTGGGATGCACCAGACACATCGGGGAGTCGGTCAACAACGCAACATGGGACACACAAGTTCGAAAAATCTGGATTCTGCATAAAAAAGCCACTGCCGCTGTTACAAAGAGGTGGTGAATAGGCCTGATCCATCCTGTTCGCTCAATTGATGCACGAGGCACGAGCAACGATGGCTGCCATCTTGACGAGTGACTTTCTGACCTGTTTGCTCAAGCTGCTATGGGGACGGCGCTACCTTTTTCCGCCCAAGTGCCGGCGAAACTCGGGTTGGCTAGGCCCAAGCTGCCACGCTGGTTTCCCGTTTGAGGTTTGAGAGCTGTTTCGGTGCCTTGTGCCTTTACCTCATTCCCGTCCTTTCACCTTGACCTCATCGCGAATACCTCTATTTCCTCCGTCACGAGTCAATTGGCAGCTGCCAGTCTCCCGCCAACATGTTCAACATCGGACGCAGCCGTGCCCTGGCATCGGCGCTCAACGCCTCCAAGGTTCGTCAGTCTGGTCTCGTCCATGACCTAGCGCATTTTTTTCCCTTGCCATCCCCTTAGTATCAAGCTGCTAACTACATGTTGCTCAACAGCTTCAGGTCGCCCCCGCCGTCAGATTCCCTGGCGTTGCACAACAACGACGAGCTCTGAGTATTCACGAGTACCTCTCTGCCGACCTCCTGCGACAGGTAACAAAGCCCCGACTGCCCCGGATCGTCATCCTCTGGTAGCAGCTAAATACTTGCTCTTACTGACCATATGGTGCACATAGTATGGTATCGGTGTTCCTAAGGGCGCTGTTGCCAAAACTGCCGAAGAAGCCAAGGCTGTCGCAAAGGAGATTGGCACCGAGGACATGGTCATCAAGGCTCAGGTCCTCGCCGGTGGACGAGGCAAGGGTACCTTTGACAACGGCCTCAAGGGGGGCGTCCGCGTCATTTACTCTCCTCACGAGGCCGAGATGTTTGCCCAGCAAATGATTGGCCACAAGCTCATCACCAAGCAGACCGGTGCTGGTGGCCGTCTCTGCAACGCTGTCTATATTTGCGAGCGCAAGTTCGCTCGTCGCGAATTTTATCTAGCTATCCTCATGGATCGTGCCTCCCAGTCCCCTGTTATCGTCTCCTCGTCCCAGGGTGGCATGGATATCGAGACCGTAGCCAAAGAGAGCCCCGACGCCATCATCACCACATACATTGACATCAACACTGGTGTAACGGACGACATTGCCCGTGGCATTGCCACCAAGCTGGGCTTTAGTGAGCAGTGCGTTGAGGATGCCAAGGATACCATCCAGAAGTTGTACAAGATCTTCCTCGAGCGCGACTCCACTCAGATTGAGATCAACCCTCTCTCTGAGACCAACGACCACCAGGTTCTGTGCATGGATGCCAAGTTTGGCTTCGATGACAATGCCGATTTCCGCCAGAAAGAGGTTTTCGAGTGGCGTGACACCAGTCAGGAGGACCCTGATGAGGTCCGCGCAGCCAAGTCTGGACTCAACTTCATTAAGCTCGATGGCGACATTGGCTGCCTCGTCAACGGTGCTGGTTTGGCCATGGCCACCATGGATATCATCAAGCTCAACGGTGGACAGCCCGCCAACTTCCTTGACGTCGGTGGTGGCGCTACCCCTGCGGCAATTCAGGAGGCCTTTGAGCTCATCACCAGCGACCCCAAGGTCACCGCCATCTTCGTCAACATCTTCGGTGGTATTGTTCGTTGCGACCACATCGCCACCGGACTGATCAAGACTGTCGAGAACCTCAACCTTAAGATCCCCATCATCGCTCGTCTGCAGGGCACCAACGTTGAGCAGGCTCACAAGATCATCAACGAGTCTGGCATGAAGATTTTCTCCATTGATGATTTGCAAAGCGCCGCTGAAAAGTCTGTGCAGCTGTCAAAGGTCGTCAAGCTGGGTAAGTTTTTGTGTCCCACTTTCACTCTCCAAACGTCATTCCACGGGTTCAGAAATCCCTAACAATTTGCGGTTTGCAGCTCGTGATATTGACGTTGGCGTCGAGTTCACCCTGGGTATCTAAAATTATGCATCTCGTGGACTGGGAAAGACTGGCATTTCGTGTAATATTTCAGGATTTTTGGAGGCTCCAAGTAATGTTGCCTCAGATGGCGGCCTAGTGTATTGTTGACGTATCATGCAACCAGCCTTTCGCAGTTAATAGAATCGGATTTGGGTTGTTTGCCATTTATCACATTGGCATGATCCGCCTGATGGAGTGATGGAGACGAGTGCCGTGATGGTTTATTGAGGGTGGAGGCTTCAAAGGCGAGACCACAGAGCTGCATTTGACAATGCTCAATATGTCTGCACTAGGATTTAACACCACAACTTGATGGCGAGCCGAACTGAGCCGCATTTATGGACAAAACACCTTGGACGTGTCGGGCAATCCGTCGATTCGCATATTTGTGGCTTTGGGATACAACTTTGCAAGTTAAAAACGGCGACATGGGGAATTTGTAGCAACTACTAGTCCGTCAAAGTACAAATGCACACCACGGCACGAATCAGCTGAGACAGGTGCTTCGCCTGCACACGCCTGTCATTGAATGCAACGCCATCGTCGGCATCACTCGGTTACTGCCGATTCGGACGGAAGGGCCGTTCATTACAAGTCATCTGGTGCTGTGTTGTGTTGATAATACGTACCCGGCGCGGGCGCGTTATACGTGGCGCAGGATGCGACCCTGACCATTCAGATGTCCACTTTTGATGCCGGGCAGGGCCGGATGAGCCGAGCTAGGCATGCCATTTATTTCAACGCTGGTATGCACTGCTACGGTTGTACGCATGTGTGGTGTGTGACTGATCTGGCTGTTGCGGGAAGAGAGCGGAGACACGGCAGGCTTGCACGAGGCTTCCCCGGCCGGGGATTGTGTAATTTTGGAAAGAAAGGCGTAGAAAATTGCGATCTGTCAGAGGATAGTCATTCCGCATTAAGCAGTAGTAGTTTCGGGGTTTCGGAGACCAAGCCCGAATGCAAAAGGCTCTCAGTGCGAGAGTCTGGAAGAATTGCGAAGGCCGAATGTGCACCGAGCGCAACTCAAAGACCATCTTTTCCGTCTTTAAGCTTTAGACAGCCAACTGTACACAATGTACATGTGCATGTACCATTGACATATGTACTCAAGTTAGGTAAGCAAGGCGTTGTTGCCAGAGGCCACCACCAGTTGACTAGTCGACACTAGTAGCCTTTGGCAACATGGAAATTTGAATGAGATTTTGCACCGTTCGATAGCAACTGTGTCATGGCCAGGCATGCCGAGAAAACTCGAACTGCACACTAGACCCAAGGCGGAAATGGGAATCCAGGTTCATCAACTCACACAGCCAACTCTTGTTCGGACTGCAAAGCCCGGATATTGACAACCAACATACGATTTAACATGACGCAAACTTGATACATTATATCAGAAGAGGCCCTTTTGAGCGTCAACAGACCCAATCTGAAGTTCTAGTTCTACACGAGAAGAAAAATTGACAGGGCTTTTCGGCAATGTTCGGCTATCACCAGAGGGTGGTTTGGAAATCGAATCCTTGGACCAGCCAGCCTCACAAGGGTCAAACGATTTAACAAGATTAAGTGGAGCTACCCGCTGACTCCGGTGCGAACGAACAAATCGGGCTTATTCCCAGCTGACACAAGTTATTACTAGTAGCTCAAGGACACGGCACAGATGGCACAGATTGCTGCCCCACCACGGGAATAGACTCGGTGCAAGTATAACGCCTCGATTCAGGATCCTTCGACACACGCTTGGCATGGAAGCGGTGTTGGAGGAGGGTAATGGTGGCGGCTGCTCTGAAGAATATAAATATGCAACTCCTCCCTCGTTGGACTGACGTGTTCAGATGGGAAAGCCATAAAGAGCAGCACAGGCCTCGATCTACACTGCACAACACACGCCTCCTCATTTTGAACCGGCTACACATTTCCTTGTACCTTTCTCTACACATTCCGTTCTCAACATGCCTTCCAAGAAACAGAGTTGGTTCGCCCGCCACATGGCTCCTCCACCACCTCTGAACACGAACCCAGTTTGTCCATGTGCCAACTGCTACAATATCCTTGCCCAGCAACCTCGAATGGGACCATCAAGACATACAACTTCCTCAAATCTGAAGTCCAGCTCGACTGATTCACTGTCACGACCTGGGCGGGAACCGGATACCGTCTCAGTGAGCAGCCGAGACACCACTACGACGACGACGCATGTAGAGCTCGTCTCCGAGAACTAGGCCAATACTTTTATCAGCATGGCCCAACGACTGGACACGCGGGGATACTTCATATAAGCATTGATTTGATGGATTGGATCGGGGTACTAAAATACCATTTTTAGGGGGTACAAGGCGTCGGGAGGGGAGGAGTTCACGTTGCATATACAGTCATCAAGCACTTGTCAGACAAGGGAAGACGACATCCGGGCATGGCGCCATGATTTCTTCTTCTTTTTCTTTTGTGTCTGGTCTGGTACTCTGGTCGTCGTGCCCTGGCGACTTACACCACAGTGTCGAGATGCTTGGTAACACAAGGCATCACGGGCGAACAAAGCGTTGTAATGTTTTCACGGTTCACGATATCAAAGTATATTATTATTAATATATCATTATGGGATTTTCTACGTCTGCATCTCTAACAAGTTATGCCCTTTGCTCATTCTCGGGGGTGGCCGTGGGCAATCATGGCTGGGCGCATAAACTCCGTTCTGCTCTGCATGCCGCCATCCGTCCATTTGACGTCACCCCGCCATCATGCGCATTGCTAATCTGATGTTTGCCCAACGCCATTGCCGACGGCTCCAGGTTTCCCTCAAGCTTCCCATACGATGACCATGGCTCCCAATGTCGATCCTGCGATTCTAAAAGCCCTCGGCATAGATGACCAGCATGCCGAGATTGCCTCCCATGGCTCCTCCGGCTTCGCAGCCACCTTCAAGCTATCCGCCACAATCGACGGCCAGTCCATCAACTACTTCGTAAAGACCGGTACTGGCAGCGCTGCTGAGCTCATGTTCAAGGGTACGATCGTATGGTCTGCGCATCCAGACCTTGGCCCTCCGAGGGATCAAACACCACTGACTCTGTGACTGCAGGCGAGCATTCATCCCTAAATGCCATCCACAGTGCCGTTCCCAGCCTTTGCCCCAAATCCCATGCTCATGGAGCCATGTCCACCCCGAACAAGTACTTCCTCGTCACCGACTTTCTCGACTTGGGGTCTACGGCCCCCGGGGGTTCGGGACTTTCCCTGGCAGCCAAACTTGCCAGACTGCATACCACACCAGCTCCCATCCCGGATGGCCACGACAAGCCCATGTTTGGGTTCCCTGTCTCAACGTGCTGCGGCGAGACCGCCCAAGACAATTCGTGGAAATCATCTTGGGCCGTGTTCTACGCCGACAACCGACTTCGGAGTATTCTCAAACACTGCGTGAGGAACAACGGCAGCGATGCCGAGTTGAGTAAAGCCGTCGAAACGGTGGCTAGCAAAGTCGTCCCTCGGCTACTAGGCGAGTCTACCATGAAGGACATAACACCGGTGGTTATACATGGCGATTTGTGGAGTGGAAATCACTCCAAGGGGCGAATTGGCGGCAAGGGCGGCGCAGAAGAAGTCGTCTTTGACCCTTCTGCTGTATACGGCCATTCCGAGTATGAGTTGGGTATAATGAACATGTTTGGAGGGTATGGGGCCAGTTTTTGGAAGGAATATGAAAGGCTGGTCCCAAAGGCAGAACCAAAACACGAGTGGGAAGACAGAGTGGCGCTTTATGAGTTGTAAGTTGACATACGCTGCCTGGGTTCTCTGCCCCCCCCCTCGCGTTCTTGCGTTGGGGAGTTCGATTGGTTGTAGACTGACAATTGCAGATATCACCACTTGAATCACTTTGCCATATTTGGTGGTGGCTATCGCGGAGGAGCCATGTCCCTTTTGAGAAAGCTAATTGCGAAATACGGCAGCTAGACATGAAAAAAGAGAGGCACCCCTCATCGTGGTGTAATAATGAATATATTCAAAATGCTTTGTATAATCAATGCTATTGCGGAAAAAAAGTACTCCTCAACTCCGTGTATGATTGCTCGCTGTAAATGCACCAAGGCCCCGTCTATAAACTTGCAACGACGAACATGACAGCCTAGTATTTGAAGCTAGGCTAGCTAGGCGGCCAACATTTGCCGTGCCTCTCGCGCAGGTTCTTGCTCCTCCGGCCTCTCAGATGTGGGAACCTGAGCATTTGGAACGGATGGAAGCTGTTGTCCCTCGCCGGCGAGCTCTGCTTGCAGCGCAGCCAGCTCGTCCTCGACCTCCTCCTCGTCTTGATTCGATATCTGGCCGCCCAGCATGTCGCTGACTTCCTGTTTGCCACAGCAGCCGTGAGCCACCACAATCCAACATAGAGTAAAAACGACAAGGCAAATCTCTCGACAAGAGGGAAAACATACCTGTTGATAAGCAATTGCATCCGCCGTTTCGCCCATGAGTTTCTCTACATTCTCCAGGCCCCCCATCTCGGCATGAATCTCTTTCAGGACCTTGGTACCCTGCTGCAGCCCAAACACGACGTCCTTTTGTATTAGCGCGAATTCGACATTCGACGTCAACTTCTCCAATTGTTCGAGTTGGGCGTCCGTCTTGGCCAGCAGCGACTCCTGGTACTTCTTGCGCCTCAGCGCCAGCAGGGCTCTCTTCTTGTCGCCCTTGGCGAGCATTTGCTTTGCAATGTCCGTCTCTTTGTCGGTGAGGACGGTGATTCGCCGCTGGTACTGGTGTAGTTTGTCGCGCTGGTTCTTCATGTCCAGGATGGCCCTGTATTGAGCACGAGATGGTCAATGAGCGGGGTGGCGCCAGTGTGATGCGGTGCGCAACGAAGGGGGAGCGGGCGGAAACGTACTTGTCCTGGGCCGTGACTCTGCTGGTGCTGCCGCCCATGATGTGCACACTTCTCCGGATCCAGCCGTTGAGTGGAAGGTCTATCGAACACTTGGTGATGCCGCCCCAGACGGAAGAAGTGTAGTTGAAGCGTAACTCGGGAGTCGATGGGGTAGCTGGTACATGTCTCTATGGTGTCGCATGCCCATGCGGCCCGCTGCTGGATCGTCATAGGTCTGGAGGTCCAGCTTGAGATGTCCGGGTGGCGCGCTAGTGGGGCTCGGGTGCTATCGATAAGCCGCCTCGGACTTGGACATGCTAAAAAAAAAAAAGAAGAGGAAGGAGTCTGCGGCGCTGCCCATCACGTGGATTTGAGATTCCAAGAGAGCATCATTGCGGGACAACAGCCATATATCGCATGCAATGCTGGCCAAATAGCCGGACAGGGAGTGCTACTGATGGAAAAGTTATCTGAAACCGACTATCGAACCGAACCTAATTACCAAAGGCGTTCTTCCTTGTCCAACACCTACAGCACCTGGAATGGCCAACGTTGAATCCTTCACTTGAACGACTCACTGATTTTTTTTTACGTCTGGTGACGACTCTCATTTGTCTGTCACTTGTATTTAGCGGCATCTCATTTGTTGGAACGGGGATATATGCCACAACCTTTCAAACGGCGCGCGTGCCTCCACTGGCCCGCGAACATTAATATCGGCGCATCATCTACAGCCCTCCGATGCTGTACATCTGAATTCATCAATATTTCTGATTACGTTACCCTCACCAAATATGCCTCCTGGCATGGTGAAATCGCGAGTCAGTCTTCGTTCACGGATAGAACGGGATGTGTACACTGTGTTAAAGCAACTGGAAGCAGCAAATGGTTGCAGGCCGTTCAAAACAATCACCACAGCATACGATGCAATCCAACGGTCAAATTCAAGCCTAAAGAGACAGAAGAAGAGGATTTTAGAGGACGCAATAGATCGTGTGCTCTTGTTCAGAAAGCAAGAGGCTGATGATTCCAGCGACTCCGAGGCTGCTATAGAAGAGGCTGAACCAGAGAAGCCAGAAGATGAGAGATTTCTGTTGAATCGACAAATGACGAAACTTTGGCATCAAGACTCGCCCGCCAACAAGGTCGAATCGACAGAACCTTCTCCGGCAAAAAAACGCCGAATCCAAGCGGACACCGAGGACATACCCGGTCAAACCAGTGCTGTTGAAACAGTTGTTAATGGCAATGTATCTGAAGGTCCCTCCTCTGTTCAGAAACAGGACAAGCAGCAGATGAGGAAAACTCAAAAGGCAAGCCGGTTCACGGTCGAGCATGTCGATGAGGAGGTACCGCTGGGCGGTCTTGGAGAGGTGTATGGCGATCTCCTTGAGCATGGCTGCAGGCTCTTGCGGTTTGCAAACTACTACGAAGAAAATGGATGGGACCGGACAACCGGCATCCTCCTATCTGGTCCTTGTGGCATGGGAAAGAGGTCATTGGTGAAGAATGTGGCATCAATGCTCGGCGTACCCCTAGTCTCCCTCAATGGATGCCTCGAAGACCCCGAAAGAATGGAAAAGAGCATGACTGAAGCTTTTGACGCCGCAATAGCACAGGCCCCTAGTATCGTCTTCATCGGCGAGATCGACCAGTATATGTCCAAGACTGGCTCATCCAACCACAACGAACACCACTCCAAGGCCATTCGCCTCTTCACGCAGCAGATGCAACGATTAAAACACCGGCGAGGAGAAGACGGGTACGTCCTCGCCATGGCCACCACGTCAAAAATCGCAGATGTTGACCAGGCAATATTAAAAACCGGTTTGTTCGAAGTTACCAAACAACTGAAGATTCCAGACTACGAAGCAAGACAGAACATCTTGCAGACGGTAACCAAAAAGAAGACGCTTGCGGAAGACGTCGACTTGGGTGAAATTGCCAGAATAACACACGGCTTCGTGGCAGCCGAACTCGTCCTCATTACCAAGTTGGCCACTGAACTAGCCGCGAAATGCATCAGCGAGGATGCCGAGGCCACCGACGTCTGCATGTCCGAGATCAAGTCTGCCATCCTCTCTGGAAACCGAGACTTTTTTTCCACCATGCGCCCGCGTATACGGCCACGAGCACCCGTATCCATGGAAGACTTCAAATCCGTCATCAAGGACTTCACCCCCTCCCTGCGCAAAGAAGGCTTCACCGTCATCCCCAACGTCACCTGGGACCAAGTGGGAGCTCTCGACAAGGCCCGCAAACAGCTACACATGTCCATCATCGGCCCCATCAAACGGCCCCAGGTGTACAAAGAATTCGGCCTCAAGCAAACCGCCGGCATTCTCCTCTGGGGCCCTCCCGGCTGCGGCAAAACGCTCGTCGCCCAAGCCATCGCCAACGAAGCCAAGGCAAGCTTCATCCTCATCAACGGGCCCGAACTCCTCAACAAGTACGTTGGAGAATCCGAGCGCGCAGTCCGGGAACTCTTCCAGCGAGCGCGCTCCTCAACCCCTTGCATCCTCTTCTTCGACGAGATCGACTCTATCGTGCCCCCCCGGGCCAACTCCTCCACCGACTCTGGCGCTCGCGTGGTAAACGCCCTCCTTACTGAGCTCGACGGCGCACAAGACCGAACGGGCGTCTACGTAATCGGCACCACGAACCGCCCCGAAATGATTGATGAGGCTATTCTGCGTCCGGGGCGTCTGGGCGTCCAGCTTTTTATTGACCTCCCCACCCCCTCAGAGCGCGTGGATATCCTCCGAGCCATCTATCGGACTCGTCATGAGAACCCGTCGCCTGTTGCAATGGAAGGCCTCTCGTCCGTGGCCCAGGATCCACGCTGTGCAAATTTCAGCGGCGCAGACCTCAGCGGTTTGCATGCAAAAGCTGCGGAGAGTGCTTTGGAGAGGTGGATGCAGGACGAAACGTCGAGTAAGGAGATGATTGAGGCGGATTGGGAGTTTGCGTTGGCGAATACGAGGGCAAGTGTGCGGGATCCGGCATCGTATAGAGAGAGGGACATGATTATCTGAGAGCGTGAGTAGCTGACTATGGTAGAGGGCCGATATACCGACTGCATGCTGCCAAGAATGGCTGCGTATGCAAAAAGTCCTTATGCATTGTGGTAGTATTCAAGCCAAAAGTGAACATGTAAGATCAGGTTGCACAACCCATGAAAGTGGCCAGTGACCCTGGCATGCATACAGACGGTTTCTCCTCTCGGTAGCTCGTAGATATGTGCAAGAAATAAAAAGCTAGACGGCGTGCATTCCCAAGGATGGGATACCAGTCTTTTTAAACTGCACCACTCGATCGTATTGTCACAAAGTCGGAGCCAATGCCAGCAGAAATAAACTCTCGTCAAAGCGGAGTTGAATAACAAGCACATCCTGGTAGTGCCCCGGCTATTCTAAATTTTGTCTATAATACACTCATCCTATCCCCGTCTATCATGTCGTATTAATACACGTGCAAGGCACTTAAGCAGTAGAATCCTTCAGGAAGCTAGTTGACTTGTCAGCATGTGGCGAGAAAACTCTGGATACAAGCCAGCGTGTACTTACGCAATCAGGTCCTTCCTGTCCTTCTCCTTCTTGAGACCACCGAAAGCCATCTTGGTGCCGGGGATGTACTTCTTGGGGTTCTCAAGGTAAGCAAAGAGGGTGTCGTCGTCCCAGGTGATGCCCTTTTGCTTGTTGGCATCGGTGTAGGAGTAGCCGTCGACGGAGCCGGTCTTGCGGCCGAAAAGACCGTGCAGAGCGGGACCAATCTTGTTGCCGCCGTCCTTCTCGACGGTGTGGCACTGAGCACAACGGGTTTTGAAGAGGTTGGCACCCTTCTTAGCGTCACCTGAAGTAAGGTCTATTAGCATATGCCCCATTGACACGTGAGTTCTGTCCTCCGAGATGCCAAGGAAAAAGTGATGACACGCCCCGAGATCAATCGGTAGACAGCGGCGTGGCCGAATGCAGAGCCAGCAGACCGACACACTGAAGAAAAAGACGAAGATTGCGTTGCCATAATCGGAATCGCTGTATGAGAGAATTTTTTCCCGCGTCCACAGAATTGACCTTTTCCCGGCACAATGAAAATGACGCAGAGAACACGAGCAACTGGCGCCTGAAAGGAATTGCGCATGCCACCATTGAGCCGAAAAACACAACGTGGACACTGGAAATCGCTCAATTGCGGTTCGACCAATAGATTCCGGCAAACTTCGTCTTCATTCATCGTCATGCGCTGACGCAATGGCAAAGCAAACCGGCTCGTCCGATTGCCCGAGGCTTCTTCGGCTGTGAGGATACACCAAGATTGAAAGACTTACCACCAGCCATTTTGAATTAGGGGTCTTGAAAAAGGCACCAAAAAAGTGTATTCGTAGGAACGGTCGCGAAGAAGAATCCCGAGAGTTGTCAGTGACGACTTGGGATTGTCGATAGAGTTATGGCGTAGAGGATGGAGAGGGAGAAGAGAGAAAGGCCAGGAACATCGAATGAAAAAAAAAAGTTTACTTATGACAGCATGGACCGATCAGCTAGGCACTCGAAAACCGGACTCCTGGCAAGATGTCCGCCGATTGAGCCACAGTGGCCTGCGGCGCAGCCCAATCAGAGCCGTGTAATTACGCAGTCAGCGGACCCGCCACATCAGCTGCGCCGGGTAAACTCGGACAGGAGCCAACAATGTACATAGTTCCTGCTCTCAGACAACGCTTGAGCAGTATTCGGCTGCTCATGTGCCCAAGTGCCCCCACTCATGTCCACTGCTGTCCACTAACTGGCGCAAACTGGTCCTGTATGTCCGACGCCCACAGGTGGTGAGAGAGCGCCAGTGTTGCCCTCGCCTCCCTTTCCCCTCTAGCCTCTAGCCCCCCCCTTCGCCCGGAGCACAATCGGCCAAAGCTCGGCAAAAGCCGTTGGCACCAGCATATGTGCCTGAGGGTCCAAGGCTACCACTCTCAAGGTGCATTCAGGTGCTAGAGAAATCCTGCCCAAAAAAAACCCTAGCATCCCAAGCTTCAACCATTGAGCTGTATTGATACAACGGAATAGTTCCAAATTTCCACTGCCCACCTCATAATGACGTCGAAAACGATAATACCGCGCTTCTTGCTACCTCTACAAGGTCCCTTGTGGCGCGGCGTCCGCATACCGCTCTCCCAAAATGTTCGCATCAGATACGCATCATCGTCATCACCGACCGGTCACCGCAACCCCCCGTCCCAAAAGCCAATTGTGCTTGAGAAGCCAGCCAAGTTTAACCCCCCGTCCCACGGATCCCGAATCAAGCGAAACGTCATGCCCAAGCATTACGGCCCTGAACTGAGCGCGTCGGAGATTTCTGCCCAGAACAAGAGCCATTACCCTGGTGTCATGGCCCCCGAGGGATCTTGGTCTCATTGGTTTTGGCATAGCAGGTTGCTCCATACTTTTATTACCATGGTATGGCCTATGTCTCTTTCTCTTCTTGCATGAATCCTTTTCGGGATCTCATGGAGAAGCGTGTTAACTACAAGAGAAAAACCCATCACTAACTCACCGTGCAGGGGGCCTTGTTTGCAATGGCCATATACACCTTCTTCATGAATTACGCCTACAACTCCACCTTTAAGGACCTCGTTCCTCCAATGTCCGATCTCTGGCACCATCCTTCATACTTCTTTGCCGCATGGAAAAACGTCATCGCCCTGCACGAAAAGGACAAGGCCACAAAGGCTGGTGAACATCGAACAAGGTACCTGGATGACGTCGCAAAGAGAAAGTACTACATGAAGGTACACGGCATTGAGACCAAGGACCCCGTTTCTCTAGTGTTTGGGAAGGACGAAGGAAAATCAGAGGAGGAGCTGGAGGCCGTTGCGCTTGGACGAGAATTGCCCCCAACATCAGAATCGGACGAGAAGCCGGAGCAGAGGAAGAAATGGCTCGGTATTTGGTGATTGACTGAACCCATGCTAATTTTTGGCCTGTCCTCCTACGATAATTCCGCAAGTACTCGGAACGCCTGGGCCGCCATGCAAATAGGACTGTAAATAAACCGTGCAACACTAATAACAATACGCTGCACATTGCCCAAACCCTCCCATTTTGCCTGATGATCGCCTTCATGTTAAATCTACACCCTCCAACCCATCCAAGATTTCATCCGCAACACCACCCTTTTCAAGCACGGCTTCTACAATGCCGTTCATCACGCTGAATTTGCTTCCGCCCAAGGGTGCTTTCCACACGCCCTGCACAGCTTGGTGACCGTCCGCCTGTTGCTTCGTAGTAGAGCCAGCTGATGCTCCGTTCGCAGCGACATTGATGGAATTAGGCACACCGGGAGGAGTTAGTCTCGAAGGCGGATCAACTGTTCTCATTGACAACAGTCTTAGCTCTCGTCTCGAGTCGACATTCATCCCTCCCGGCTTCGTTTCTTCCCTAACCTCTCCTACTGATACGGCCAGTGCCGTCTCCGCAACTGCCAACTCTTCCTTGGACGGGTCGAAAATGATATTGTCGCCCACTCCAATGACTAACAGGGTAATTGGCGGTCGGAAACCAGTGGAAGCTCTGTCACGCGGATACAAGTAGGTCGATGACTCCCAGTCGTCGTCAAACATGGGGTCTTCGTCGCCTTCTGACTTGAGTCGTGGTAACCGAGTCGCGAGAAGTGCGAGATGTGATGTTAGAGATAGAAGTGGAAGTGGGTATGAGAGAGGCGGTGAAATCAGTAGAACCTATGTCGCCCAAAAAGAGAAAAAGAGGTCAATATCGCGTCAACAGCATCTTGCGGACGGTAGTATGATACTCACGTCAAGAAACAATCTCCAATGAAATCGTCTATTAATCCAAAGCCTCTTCGCGAATTCCCCATCTGCTAATAACGCCTCTCTCAACATCTCCGCCAGAAACACCGTCGAAGCTTCATCGTCTCTCTGGCCAGGTATCTCGATCGTCATTTCCAACCAATCCCCTCTAGCTCTTGACCTTGCATCATCAGCTGCGGCGCTTGCGATGGCACTCAATTTGCCATCGCGGTCTTCGGCATCTCGTATGCCAGGGGTTTTTTCAATTTCCGCCTTTACGCCAACAATGGCTTCTGTGCCATCCGAAAAGCATACACGAGCACTGCCGTTTGTTCCAGGTAAAATACCTGTCTCTGCGGTCAATGGCCGGAATTGCGTTGAAGAACGACCATCAGGGCGGATTGGTGGGGTAAGAGAGAGTGTGCTGTGCAGATATGCGAGTTCGGCAGGAGAAAGAAGAGTTTGCTGAGTGGCCATGATCCCGCAAAGCAATCACCTGCCAGGAGAGATGAAGCAATACGTTGGATGTGCTGGCGCTGGTTGAATTGCTGGCTGAACTGCCTGTGAAATAAGATGTCACAGAAAGTTTTTTTTTTGAAGCTCTAGCTTTGGGCTGCAGCCTGAGCTTTGTTGATAAGATAGGCTCAGCGACGGTGGTGGGGACGGTTCGATGTCGCTACTCTGAGTGCTTGGCTCTCTGTGAAGTCAATATAAAATTTTCGTAAGCTAAGAGCGACTGCATCAAGTGCAAGATGCTTATTTCACATCAAATATTGCTCAAAAATGAAGTGTCATTCCAATTTCTCTCCCCCTTCTTTGTTTAAGGCCAAAGGGAGAAAGAGAGAGGGAGAGAGGATAAAATGAGAGACGAGGGAGTGAAATGCCTAGGCAGTGAGGGTTAACCATACGACTCAGAAGATAAACGTAAGCTCAGTCAGACACGAGTAGTCATTGAAGGCTTCTACATAGCGAAGCTCCCGTACTGGTTGCTTAATAATTCTTCTAAGCTCTCTCACGTGCCATGTCCAGACAGATCAAATCTTTGACATCTGGCCCGATAGCCGCAATCAGCTCTGCTACGGAGGCCTTAATCCCCGGCCAATCGGTGATGCTTTTGGAGTCCCAAGCTACGAGATCAGAAGTCTCGAATAGCGGTCCTGTGGAAAACACTTTCAAGGCAATGTGATCCAAATCCACTTCCTCCATATCTGAGGCGCAAGTGATTCCGGGCATGCTTGATTGAAAGAGGGACCCTATGTCTTCATCTTCATCATTATTTTCCTCCTCCCTGTTGTCGTGACCCTCTGTGCGTGTGCCATTTCTAGGAGTGGTTTGCCCGTCCTGGTTGCTAACCTTTGGCCTTTCGGAGCCTCGAGTCTCATCAGTTTCGGGCCCGCTGTCAGCAGTAGAAGCTTCTTGCCTTTCAATGGATAGACTGAGAAACGGCTTCTGGTCGAGGAGATTCAAGGTTGCCTGGTCTAATGGGTCCCAGCCAAAGCTGTTGGGGTCAAGGATGAATTGCGGAGAATAGTCGATCTTATACTTCATCTTGGGGCAATTATGGATGTAGAACCCAGGGTACCACCAACGATAGCCTTCTTCTTTCGCTAAGGCGATTTCGTGCATTGCACCTAGCTTCCCCGGGGTCTGCTTGTGAACGCTTTCATGGTACAGAAAGTAGACGGAGCTGACGCAGTCGGGTAGCAGATCTAATACTCCAATGGCAACCAGGACGCCGTCAAGCCTGTAACACTGATGATATGATCCTAACTTGCGATTTTGCCCATCAGGTGTCACCATGACTTCCCGTCGTAGGGGAGAACTACAAAGGAATCGCTTGAAGGCCCGAGGAGTCCTATCTTCGGGGAGATCCTTGTGGACAACTCGTTGATAGTTGTCGTAAACCTGATATTTCTCCTCGGTGAAGTTGTCGTCTTCAAGAGTGATGACGAGTTTGTGCGCAGGTTCTGGGGGTGTTTGCAAATTTCCATACTCGGCTTCATGTATACGATCAACAAGGCAGAATTCGTTGTCCCTCCTTTTGACCTCTTTCCGGGGTTTTGGGTAAAGTCGAGCTGCGTCCTTGATATACGACTCCCCTAATACAAATCTGTTGAACCGATTCACAGTTTGGCGTTGGTCTCTTGAAGGTTTGAACTGGCCAGAATCAAGCCGAATTGTGTAATGGGGGCAGCACGACCTCCTCTGGTCCGGTCGATACAGGAGTTTGCCTGATCGACGCCAGCACCGGTCAAGAAGAGTCTGATAGAACTTTGGGCTTAATGACGTCGCGTTTGCATAATACGAATAGCCTGAGTAGAATTACAACGTCAGTGTGCTTGCCGACCTATGTAATAAACCTTAAATGTGCTATATTTTGCGTAACAGAGTGACGACGGAGATCTATGTGTTTGGTAGCCGTAAGAAAACAGGGGACCAATAGACTAAGTAGGGAGCAAGGTAATTCACGTTTTGACTGACTCTGGCCCTGGGTATGGCAGTAACCGCATCTCGAAGAGTTTGCATATCCTATAGCATCCGTCAGCACACCCCAGTCTTTGGACGACTTTGACTAGGCTTGTAGGTATATTGAAGGAAATTGTTAGGAGATCATGGTAACCGCGCAGGGAGGGAAGTCGAGTAAAACCGCATTGGCTCGAAGTATTGCTTCTTTGTTGCACCCACTGTAGAGTTGGAGAAAGGATATTCTACCAGACATAGCGCAATGCACACTGCGAATCGCGTAGCAACGAACATGCAATAGATTGCCCTCTTTTGACTACCTACCCAGCTAGGCAACTGAATACCCACGGAGGTTCGAGTGTTGCCCAAAGCAATCAATGTGACCTCGTAGCAGAATAATGAACAGAGGTTGCATGGCCAACCAACTGGGAGGAGGAGAGAGGGCACGTGGGGTTAAATTGACCGGGTTGGTGGAGGGAAAGGCAACGAAAAGCGACGACAGCAACTTACCGATTGGAGAAATATATTCGTAGCTGGTTGAGGCGTCTTCAGGGGTCTGCATGGTACCAATTGTCGGACTGGGTTCCATGGCGGACAAAAGCACCGTCCCAGCCGAGCAAGATATCCGATTCTGTGAAGCCGAAGGGTCCTCCGTTGAAAGGTCGGGTAGCGTCTACCAACTGCTTCTTTGCCAAATCAGACACCTACCTAGGTACGCAGGCAGCTGCTGTGTTTCCTCAAGAGAAAAGCCGATGCGTAAAGGGTGAAGCCAGGTATAATCCCCCGTGACTGGCATGAGGTCGTGGTCAAGTAATTCGGAATATCAAAGACATGCCTGAAGAGGGAATCGGGCAAGCAAAGCAGTCAGACAGGGTTGACGGGGTTGACAAGGTTGGCTGGCTGGCACTCGGCTCTATCAAAATAAACTTTAGGATCCAGGGCTGGGGGCCGCTGAGCTGACAAACAGTTGTGTGCTCCAGTGGATAGGTTGTTGCCGCCTTAAGTATGGAGTACTGATGATGATGATGGCGTGGACAAGGAGGGGCGAGGGTGAGAGGGATGTTGATGCTCGGGACACAGCAAGGGCAACAAAACAACCGATAACAATGAGGTGTCGGACCGGTGGGCAGTTCGATATGAATGTCGCTTACAGCTCTCCGGTAATGCCGGCGGCGGCGGTGGTGACTGATCAGCGGTTCAAGAACAAAAACACAATTGGTATTTGCATTGTTAAAGCAAAACTACCGGATGAGATCAGCAAGTTCAAGACAGAAGTCAGTACGGAGTAGTGTCAGCCATCAACCAAGATTCAGGTGGTGCCGACTCCAAGGGTGGGCAGAAGACGGGCAGGAGGGGCAGGAGCCAGGAGGGGCAAGTCAACTGGTGCCGTGGCGCTTCAGTCTCACCTCTTTCCTCTTCAAAGTTGCCGCTAGCCCTACAGGGAACGGGGGCATGCAGGGTGGACTAGGAGTGCCTGCATGCATGCAGCACATTGCAGCAAAAGAAAAAATAAATAAAAATAAAAATAAAAATAAAAATAAAAATAAAGGAAAGCAATGTCTGGCCCAGCGCGGGGTCTCAATGATTGTACGTACCAGCATGCTCGTGTTTGTGTTTCTCTGGACCAAGGCACAGGATGCATCTAGAGCCCGAGTATCCTCGGCAACTACATATGTCACACCCAGCTGTTTCGACTCTGTACATGTAGGCATTTGAGCAGGTAAAGTATCCAGTATCGACAGCAGTGACACCAGACATTGCCCGATCAAGGGAACGTAAGGCCAGACACAAAGGAGTGGAAGCTAACTACGTCCGAATACTCGGAAGCAACAGCCACCCTGGGTTAGCGCCTATCTACATGCTGGTGATCATTTGACAAGACGCACCACGGACTGATAATAAGCATAGCACGGCCATCTTCAGGCAAATGCGCCACAGACCATGTGTCAGCATTGTGTCGCGAGACCGATATTCGAGCCAGCCTGCTTGGCAGTTGACTCTAGTCGGTAAGTTTAAAATGCTGTCTTCCTTGACCAGACAAGTTCTCCAGACACTGAAGTTGTTCAAACACACATCGTGGCTCACACAGTCGTTGTCTCGTCTGGCGGCATGAGCGCTCAACGATGCATGTGTCGCTGTGTGACCGGTTGACCCTCCCTCCATTTCACCTGCAGGCAGCTCTCGCTTTGCGCCTCCAGCATTCGCGCCTCGGCCAGGCACGTCTTCCTGACCAGCAGCTCACTAGCCAGGATAAGCTGTGCTGCAGGTGCATGACTCTCCGTCTCTGCTGTACTTGACATGAAGTACTACACCCACTGTAGTATGCAACTGCACGCTGAGCCGCCGGCCTTCAAATGCCTGGTTCGTTGGCTGTACGGTGTACATATGTATGTACGTACCAGCTCGGGGAAACGACGCTCAGACCCTCGTCCATTTCCCGTCCAGCTTGCCAGCCTCCTCCAGCCTCACGGGAAGCATTTGAGAGCTGTGAATCTCGCTACCACCCTCATCATGCATGTGCCGGCCAGATCCACGCCACGGCCCTGCTTCACTGAGTCTCCACGGAGCGGCTTCTTTCGTGCGTGATTGCGTGGGCATGCAGTCGCGGCCGAAGCGTCCAGGCATGACCACTTACAAGCAATCGCATGCCGCGTCGTTTGTCACACAGCACTCTGCTCGGAAGACTTGAAGCCAAAGGAAAATGCATCTACGGGTACATTCATCGCCCTCACATCCAAACACCAAGGATATGCAGCATATGAGGCAGGCGCTGTGAATGGTCAATCCAAGCTTCTTCTGCCATCCACACCACATTCACGCCCCCAGCTTGTGCCCCAGGATATTAGATACGATACCCCGGTGAGAAATTTGGAGTAGTACTATGTATATTAACCAGAGGACTCCCAACGGCCGCCCAGGGCTGTTGTCAGATTTCCTCTAGATCAATGAGCAGGAAGCAATTACTACAAGTAGACATCGCTCAGCGAGACCCGAGCGCCCTGCATTTTCGTTGATTGCCACTTGTGGTGTTGCCCTCCTGCCCTCCTACACAAATCTGTTAGTTATTCTTCGTCTTGCTGCAACTCCCTTTTTTACATACATGTGTAAACCCTTCAAGCCAAGGTTTTAAACCCACATCAGAAAGGCCTTGTACACCACTGTACAGTCGTCAGCCACGGAACAGGCCTCGTGGCTATAGCTTGTTCCTCTGCTCCCGCCAGTTGACCAGTTGCCAACCCAGCCTTAAGCATTGAAGTTGGCCCGGCAAGCGTGAAAATAGGACTTGACCTTTTACAAGCATCCCTGTTAGGACGTCGGAGGTCGACGGGACTACCTGGTCCTTCTGTTTTGCTACGTTCAAGTCTATCGAGTGGCATTGACTGCGTCTGGTGTTTTCCCCCCTTGTCCCGCACATCCCGCGTCGGATTTCGCTGCTTGGGTTCGGCCTCACAAAGTCGGAAGCCCCCTCGGCACCACTTCAACCACGACGATCCCCACGACCTTCCACGGCGTTTGAGGTATTACCTGGCTTCACCGCACCTGACGCACCGGGTACCTAGTACCTGCCTAGGTACTCGTTGAGGTGGACATTCTTCGGAGACGTTCTTCGGCCTTCAAGTCCAGGAGTGCTTGCTTTCTGCTCAAGTGTCGAACTTGGAGGGACTGCTGCACTGCTCGTACCATCTCTGTTCACGGGCCCAGTATCCCAACTCTACTTGAAATTAGTAGAATCGCCGGGAATTGCGCCGTGTCGAGTGGCCTGGCGCCGAGGCCGCCTCTTCTTCATCGATCGGCCTTCGCACTGCTGGTGCTTGGCTTGGAGCATTGAGTCCCGACAGGCCAAGCCAGGACCTGTTGGTCTCCGGGAACTCGAGGCACTTGTTACCGTGATAGCTGCCCGTACCCCCGTACTTTTGTGTTCCCGTGCTCCTGTGCTGCCGCGTTGCAGTAGTACTTTGCTTTCAGTGTTCCTGGCAGGACTTGGCCACTTTCGCTGAAGTTCGACGGCCAGACTTTTGGTGAAAAGCCGCCTGCACAACAATTCCTAAGCTTTAGAAGTTAGCATCCGCTTGACAAAAAGGCTGCCGGCCATCAGACCATCGGATCGTGTCCAGCTTTGCCCTGACCGGCGCCGCCTCCCACCCACTCGAGCCAGATTCGGCATCAGACCAGTTGACCCAGTTGGACACCACGGGTCTGGTAGCCCAGACTCTTGTAGAGTTGACCTCGCCGCTTGAACCGCCAGTGACCACAGGGCCACCAGGGCCACCGGGACCACCAGGACCACCAAGGATCCCCAAGGACCCCCAATAAAGTCGCTAGTATCAACAAGTGACTTAGTACTTCCTTCCGGCCCCCCGGGAACGAAGCAGCCTGGGGCATTTGCCTCTCTGCCCTCCTCCAAACTCGAATCACTGCGATCTGTTCACACCTCTGTTCCTCATTCTCTTCTCTTCTCTTCACTCCGGTCCCTGTACGACATTCACCCAGATCAACCAAGGCCATGATGTGTGGTAGTTCGCTTTGATCCTTCTTCTTTTGCTGCAAGACGCAAGCCTCAACGACGGGGTCACAGCGCCTCAATCACCCCTGTGAGATTTGCAGTTCGCATCAGCCAGTACCTTTTTTTTAGCGCTTTCCGCCAGCACCACATACTTGGATTGGACGCAGCCAGAGGTGTCGCAAACCATCACGCATTCGAAGTCGGCAACCTTGAGAGCATGTCTGGCCCTGGGTCAGAGACGTCCGATGGTCGGTCGATGCAGTCTCGAACCGGAAGAAATAAGCAAAGTGAGTCTTGGTTGCCATCCAAGCGAACCTCTCCTGCGGTCTGTTTCACAGTTGCCGAACCCATGCACATGATGCTTCTGCTATTCTGCCTACAAGGCACTTTCGTTCTTGGTCACCTGTGACTCCGTGTCTTGCAGGTGCAACAGGACAACTTGCTAACGCTCTGTTCACCCGCAATGTAGGGTACAACTCAAAAGGCGAGCGACTCGTCGCAGGAGTCGTCCCCTTAAGTCCCGACCTAAACTTCGTTCTTCTTATACAGTCGACGCGGCGCAAAGGATGGGTTCTCCCAAAAGGGGGATGGGAGACCGACGAGTCTTGCCAAGAGGCGGCTACACGTGAAGCCTGGGAGGAGGCTGGAATTACTATTCAAATTGACTATGATCTGGGCACCATCGACGAAAAGCGACCCCCCAAGTCGTCCAAGGACAGATCAAGATACTCATTTTTCCAGGTCACCGTCCTCAGCGAGGTGGAAGACTGGCCTGAGAGGCATAAACGAGAGCGTCAGTGGTTTACCTATACCCAGGCTCTTGACGCCTTGGCAACTCGGCCTGAGCTGCAGGAAGCGCTTCAGCGCTCTACTATCAACCAATTGTAGATCTCATACCGTACCTCCCTTTGCAGCCAATCCTTTCGGGCGCATTCTATTCAAGGCATTTTCTCCACCGACATATCTACACACAACGCTGTGTCTCTGAGCCTGGACATTCTTGACAAGGCAACATCTTGTCTCAGGTCTTAGCGGAGTGTCGAAAAAGGGTCACAGCAGACCAGAGTACTGCGGCCAACACAGGGAGCGAGACCATTCTCAGATTCACGATGCTTAGTTCCGAATGCAAGTGAAGACTGGCTGCATTTCTTCTTCTAATTCTGCATCATCGATGGGAGAATATATATCGTGCATATATACTAAGGCGTTAGCGGACGGAGAAACGATAGATATGTTTTACTTCTTTTTTCTTGTTTCTTTTTTTTTTGGCTCCATGACACCTTTATACTTTACACAAAGAAAGTGGGAGAGACAGCATGAAAAGAAAAAGAATCGGCTGGGCATGCAAAATTTTCGTATCGAATGCATGTCGAAAAACTTTTGTTGAAAGACACCGACCGGGTCGGATAGGCAAGGTGCTAATGGATACAAAGCTACACTACCTCCGCCCAACTTCTCTCAGAGAAATACAAAAACTACCAAAGAGAGTAAAACTAGGAATAGTTTTACGCCTGTAGTCATGCATCTCTCACGCGGGCCCGCCCTGCTTCAATGACGGTGACTGCCTGGTACACTAGGCCGCCTTACGTAGCGTTAAGCCTCTTAGTCTTTCCGCAATGTGCCTCGCAAGGCATTGAGACGGGAACCATGCAATCTACGAGTTGAAAGTTGGCGCCACAATCATTTAATCACTGGCGCGTGCTTCACCGCGGACTGTCCCATAAGATGAGCTCTAGCGGTGTCACGACGTCATGGTATCTTTTACAACTCCGCCACATTCATCCAACGTGGCCAGCACTATGCAGCCCCTCCATTGACTTTTTTTTTGTCATGGGCTTCCCAACCATGCTGCCCCGCGCCTTCCCTGCATGTTCCAAGATCCTTCGAATAACAATCAACGCTTTTATCACGTGACTACATTTATCGATAAGACCATCGCGGAGGACAACGACGTCGCGACTCCTAGCCCGAATCTGCTAGTGAATCTGCTATTTCCAAAACTCCTGTCCCTTGCTTTAGTCGAAAACGTTCCGCCATGCTCTCATGAAGCGCAAATAGTCCAGGTAAATATATGGATTACTGTCTCGCAGGTAGAACCTACTCGCCACACAGCATCCAACAGAATACATGAGATAGAAAAACGAAATGGAAAACCTTACGATCTCTGATGCCCCTCCTCCTGGAGCTCGGGGCCATGCACAGGGTCCCCCTCAATTGCCCCCGCAGATGTTCACGACAGCTGCTCAACTTCTCGATCTAACGGATAGTACGTCTACTCAAGATGACCGGGGACGTTGGCCAACTCCATTTTAGCAAGGTGTTTTGAGCTGACGCGGTGCCGTAGAGAAGCTCATGGTTGCCCTACGTGACGGAAGGAAATTGATTGGCGTATTGAGGAGTTGGGATCAGTTCGGTATGCCCTTTGCCAGTACAGAATTCGCCAACGCCTCACGACGTTTTTAACACGCGCCGCAAACAAAACAGCAAACTTGGTTCTACAGTCAACAACCGAAAGGATATTCGCCCTGAAGCCCGGCACCGACCCCTCCGCCCCGGAGGGCTACTACGCCGACGTAGCCCACGGCATCTTCCTCATCCGGGGTGAGAATGTGCTCCTCCTGGGCGAAATCGACCTCGACAAGGACGACGACCCGCCACCAAATTTCGAGCCCGCCGATGTAGAGCTCGTCAAGAAGCTGGCCGAGGAGAAGAAGGCCCATGACAAGGCCAGGGACAAGAAGAGGTTGCAGAAGCTGGCTACCATGGGCTTTGAGGGCGAGAACTTGGGCGAGGTCGTATTTTGAAGTGGATGCAAGCGCAGATCTTCTTGCTGTAGCAAAAGGCGGCGACGATGGAAGAATATCCAGTGGCAGAGATGCTTTTTCTTGTGGGGATAATTGGGGTCCTTGGCGGGTAAATACGCTTAGCTTTTGTTGGGTTTTAAATTTTGTCTTGGTCGTATTTTATGCGGCGCGGTTCGACTAGGAAGGCAGAATATTGTGAAATGCCGCCTGTCGGGGGAGGGGGTTGGGTCTTGGCCGTGACTCGTGGGTGTCTGAGAAGGAGAAGAGGATTCCAAACCTTGACGAGATGAAGTTGGAACATGTCGGGATTTGGGGCAGAATCTTGCTCAGGAAGAAAGTAGACGGATAGCCAAGAGGATAGACTTGCTCATAGCCGCCTAGGGCAAACATGATATTCTTGGTCGACTTCACATAGTTTCACTCATGTTCCGTCTTGAATATCGGATTTACTAGATATGTTCATTATTTCAGAGCATACATGGTGTGGAGACTCATTAATCAGAAATACTAATGTACATGGGCATGAAGTGAGGGCGCTTCACATTCTTAGCATCACCCTCTAATAAAAGAAAGGCCATCAGATCGAGAGTGACCGCTCGGTGCTCCTTTACATCTTATGTGGTCGTCTTCTTCAGACTCTCAAACATGGGTATCGGGTTGTCATTACCATTTCTCATGCCGCCCAGAAGCCAGTCTGTCAATCCTACAAACTTGGCGCCCATCCCCCTTTCCCAGTTCCCACCTTCCTGCGCCTGTTCAATCGTATGCGTCAATACCCTGCCCTCGGCATCAAAGTCAAATATGAATAGTCCCGTAAACGCCTTGTTGGGGTCGACTCCGCGCCCGCGCCACAGGGACCTCGCGACACCGCCGGGTTCCGGCGTCTCTCCGTTGGACCGTCGCTTCTCACACCAGCGAACCACGAGCTGTTCTGGCATGGCGCCGGCGCGGCGGGGGAGAAATGTTAGCGGCTCGGATGTCATGCGTTCTGCGAGGATTTCAAGCTTGACGTTGCCGATTATGGGGACGCGGTTCCAGGCAATTGGCGATGTCCAAAGGGCTGCGTTGTAGGCAACTTTTCCAGAGACGGTGGGGAGATGGGGGTGTGTTGTCGGGAAGAGCTGGAGATTGATGTTTGGGGCTAGGATTTCCTGAGGCAGTGGAGATTGTAGCAACGTCGGCAATCGTTCTTGGAGTACTCTTAAGGCTGGTTTGTGTCAGCGTCAAAGGTTCCCTAACCCATCAAGGTCTTTCTACAGTGTCGATGATCAGGGCCGGGCCCTCAGGGTTGTCTTCCACGGGAGAGGGAGCTTGTGCATGCATCAATAGAAGAGAATAGTACGACGCTTACTTCTGCCAAGCTTTGTCTTGTTCGGATCTTGGGGATCTTCGCCCTTGCCGTCCCTCAACAACCTTGGTGTCGTCCTGCCAAAGTGTGTTTGTGGCAGCGGCTGCTGGGATACAGGAGGTGTTTGCAAGAGGCACCCCAGGTTCGAGATCAGAGATGGCGGCGCGGGCGGTAAGTTGACGGGTGTGAGATGTGCGGGAGGTTGAATCGATGGCGTTGCGAGGGAGGGAGACGTGCTCAGACTGGTCAAGGTCCGGAGCGTCGGCGGGCTACCGGCAGATCGTGTTGCATTGCGCAACGGCGCAGCCATTGGAGGTCAAGACCAGCTCGTCGACGACAGGGACCGCATGCGCGTGAGTTGATATGTATAGAGAAGTTGACAACGCCCGGGTTTGGTCAGTGTTAGCGTCGAGGTTCCACGGCTTGTCGATGGAGGAAGAGGAACGTATTGCGTCAGAGGGTTGCGGATGCGTGGACTTTGGTTGAAGCTGAACCGTCACAACTGCGCGCAGCCTTGGTGACGACGACCAAAAAATAGTCTGGGTCAAGTCATATCTGGGTGACGCAAGGCAAGGCGGTTGTTGAAAAATAAAAAAGTAGAAGGAAAAGAAATGGAATGGAATAAAGGCATGCAGCAATGCTTGTGTGGGTGGCTGCTGTCACTTGGACTGGAGCTACGAATTTATGAGGTCGACAAGGCAAAACTTGCCTGAAGACCATCTGAACCCCAAAACCCCGAGAGCCACTGCGGGGCCGGTCCGGATGAGCGGGTTGCAGCAGCTAGAGTGGTGATATTACTGTGGACTGGGTAAGTACAACCTATAAGTACCTACCTAGGTACCTAGGTAGGTAGGTAGGTACTTGAGTACTTTGCGTGACATCAACCCATTGGAATGCCCGGTGGTGCTTGGGCGCGGTCGGGCAAAGCTGTTTGCCATCAAACAGCAAATGACAGCAAAATGCAGACTTAACGACCGAGTATCAACGTAGATGGACATTTGGACGTTTTGACACCTGCCCATCTAGATGCCGAGATGATGTGACGCGATGCCGATGCGACGCTGTGCCTGGTCGCCTCACCGGGTCCTGTGCACATCTGTGTGCACACCGACATGTATACATGGCAATTCAGACTTCCTCTCATGCCTCCCATCCTCGGGGTCAGGGTCAGGCCTCCGTCTGGGGCAAACTCTCACGAGGCCCGTAGCAGCAACTCGAGGAGCAGCAGCCTTGTCGTCACATGTCGCTGCTAGTCGCCTTGGGACGCCGAATCATGGAAAGGGCCTTCTGCCTCGTCTTGTCACATCATGACGAGGGCCAGGCATCTGTACTCGAGTAGATTGGAACCTCCAAGGGCCTCATGACTTGACATCAGGTCGCTTGGATACCCTACTTAGATGTACCTAGGTACGTACTCCGTACTGTATTCGGCTCGGGATGCTGCATGTCCCGCCCAACGTTCTATGGCAACACTCGCACACCCACATGCACAGTCCCTCCAGCCAGTCCAACATTCAATGGCGCCTGACACGTGACCGATCAGCTGGCTCCCACCGCCGCCTCTCGCTGGTGCTCGTCGTCCCTGACGTACCCAGTCGTCGTCTCACACCCACCCACGTAGCCAGCCCTTGGTTTCTTTGATCTCCTCGCATCATCACCGCAGCGTTTTCCCCCATCGCAGCAGCAACCCCTCCCGTCGCCTACCGACATTGTCCAACACTCCTACCGTTTTTCTTCTAAATACCCTCAACGCCGCCACCATGAACCCTGAGTGGTACGCGCCGAGCCTCCAAGTCCCTACTTCCTAGGCGCCAACCTCCTGAGAGGACCCGGAGACTGACTGCATTTTGATAGAGTACATCCCAGAAAGTTTCTTGACACGATGCCGCCACCTCACGGAACAAACACGACCAGACTAGCTGCGGCAATGTAGGTTAAGAGCGTGTGCGGATTCTAACTGGCTGAATTAGATACGACTACCTCTTCAAGCTGCTTCTCATCGGTGATTCCGGTGTTGGCAAGTCTTGCTTGCTACTTCGATTCGCCGACGATACCTACACAGAGTCCTACATTTCCACCATTGGTGTCGACTTCGTATGCGGATATGCCCTCCATGTCAACCCGGAGAAACCATCACTAACCTGTCATTAGAAAATCCGGACGATAGAGCTCGATGGCAAGACTGTCAAGCTCCAAATTGTGCGTTTGTTACCTGTATTTGGCTCATCAATGACGCCACCAAACTGGGAAGCTAACCACCGCAATCAACACAGTGGGACACTGCTGGCCAAGAGCGATTCCGAACCATCACCTCCTCCTACTACCGCGGTGCTCACGGTATTTGCGTTGTCTACGATGTCACCGACATGGATTCTTTCAACAATGTCAAGCAGTGGCTTCAGGAGATTGACCGATATGCTACCGAGGGTGTGAACAAGCTCCTGGTTGGCAACAAGAGCGATATGTCGGATAAGAAGGTGGTCGAGTACACTGTTGCCAAGGTAAGTACTAAAATTTGGCTTCGCGAGCTGTGAATGAGTGTGGACGGCCCAACTCCTGACATGGGCTTGATACAATGTGCTCGTGAGAGCGTGACGTTGATGTGCCAAGATCTCACTGCTAATCCTGCAAACAGGAATTTGCCGACAGCCTGGGCATCCCATTCCTTGAGACCTCTGCCAAGAACGCCAGCAACGTTGAACAAGCATTCTTGACCATGGCCCGACAGATCAAAGAGCGCATGGGCACAACGACAGCCAACAACACCAAACCCAGCGTGCAAGTTGGCCAGGGCCAGGGCGTTGGCTCTGCTTCAAGCAACAGCTGCTGCTAAATACCTAAGTAGCTGTAATGCTCAAAGACAGGGGTCGGCGACGGAGTACGTGAGGAGCAGTGCGATGCCAGAGAAATGACTGGACAGGCTACATTTACGACTTTTTCCATTCCCGTTTTTTTCTGCTCTCTTCTGCGCATAGACTGAATCATGTCCATTTGGATTTTTGCTCCATCTCTCTACTTCTACGACCGACCGCAAGACCAAACACTCCGCTATGCATTGAGACGATCCGATTCAGATGAGACAGGAACGGCTGAACCGGGAAACAGGATAAGGAGAGTTACGAGGCTCATGCTACGTTTTCCCCCTTTGTAACGAAAACATGTAGACACAGGGGTCATTTTATTTTACCAGGCGAAACGCAACCACCGTGTCTTCTTTTTTTTCTTATTTCTTCGCTTATTATTCTGTTGTGCTGTTTTTAAAGGTTGTTTTAGGGGGCACTGGGGAGCTTTCACCCTTTTTTTTTTTTGTACTCGTGTGCGAGAATGGGCATTAATACAGGGAAACGTGATCTTTGTACCGACCTGTCCTGATGAGTGTTGTAATTTTGTTTCTCTGTTGCGAGGCTAGACGGTGATGCCCTTTATCTTGTCCCCAGGCAACGAGTATGTCATGAACTGACCAATGTCTGCCTAATCGCCCATGGTACAACTGGATTTGGCTCCTCGCATGTCTCACCAGGCTTTAGTACTTTAACCGGATTAAGGTGAAGTTCATGGGATTACAAGAGGAACGAGCCAATGCAAAGATGTGCATCTAGTGATGGATTACGAATTTAAACTGAGTAGACGATTATTTTCTAATACTATTTATTGCTTGAAGCAAGTCTTAGATGTAGAGCTCTTGCTTGCCGTCTTTTCGATGTGTATGTATCTATAGATAATATCGCCTGCCTTATGCTTCGTTTAAACCAGTCATATTTAATGTACATGCGCTTCACACTAAATTTACCACGTCTTGAAAGGAAATAGTCTTATCCTCTAAAAAGGAGCAAAATAAAAGTTTAAAAAATGAAAGGGAAAAAATAAAAGAGATCACGCGGTGAAGGAGTTAAAGCGCAGGAGCATCGCCCACGTTGTAAACAGAAAACCAAGTATGTCAACGCTCCCTTCGCCCCCATGATTATGGGCACAGGACTATGCTAGTCCCAAAAACTTGAGCGCTTTGCGGCTGTTCGGCTTGCGCACCGGGTGCTTTTGCATGAAAACTGGCATCAGCCTGCGCTCATACATGTCATCATCGCTGTCGCCACCGAAGTCATAGTCAGCCAGGGATTCAACTTCTACCTGTTGATCATTTTTCGGCCACAACCTTCCCTGGCTTAACTTATTCTTCGCCGACTTCAGTGCCTTGAATGTTTCAGCAAGCGAAGGTGCACGTAGCGACGCTGTAGGCGAAGCAGGCTCAAGAGGTACTGGAGGCGCGGGTGGCAAAGCGATTGACGTTGGTGACACTGAGCTTTCACTAGCAAGCTTGGGTAATGAAAGAAGAGGGTATTTGCGTAAACTGAGCGGCGGGGGTCTCTTCTTCTTTGATGGTTTGTCTGTAGACTGCTCCGAGTTTGGTGCCAACGGAGGTTCAATCTTTATGTTCCATACTGTTGAAACAAAGGTAGCAATATCTTTTTCAGAAGCGGTAGAGGTTAAAAGATAATTGGCTTTTGATATATCGATTTCGGACGAGGACCTGGGAGAGAAAGAACGCGTGGGCTTGCCCTCAGGCTTGTTATTATTGATTGATGCACCGCGAATATTCGTGAATGGCGAGTCTTCCTTGCTCTCCGCATCGACAATTTGTGCCACTTTCATGACATCAACCCCAACAAGTCGTTGTAATGCCAAGACAGTCGCCAAATGCTCCGGTGGGTAGATGAGAAGCAGATGCCGCACATCAGTATGCAGTGCCAAATATGTCTCGAGATGAGGAACAATAAGAGTGGCCAGCAAGAACGAGTTGGTAAATGGATTGTCAGAGGTTTGATTGGCCAGTCTCTGAGCAGTAAAGGCTTGCATCGCATTGGCGAGCAGATATCTAAAAATGAAGCCAAAAGAAAGCGTAGTGAGCAAAAGGAGCTTCAAGGAGATAGAGACAGACCAATATCACATACCTGAAGTCAACTCTGCCGGTTTTGACAATTTCGCAAGACTTCCTGCCAACCTTTTCTAATCTGCCAATAACTTCCAATGAATACTCTTTTTTGACACCTGTTTGGGAGCCAATGGCCAAGATATTTGTGCCAGTGGCGTCATTCCGCTGTGATGTGCCTGGCTCTCCTCCTCGGAAGATTGGTTTCCAGAGTTCATCAAATTCTGGGAGGAGAGAAAACTGGAACTGGTGACAGCCTTTTGTATCCGGTGGAAAGTATTCACCAAGGATGGAGCGCAGTGAATTCTGTATAGACACAGCCGTATGGCCTGACGTGACCTGAAATTCATGGACCTTGTGCTCGATATCTTTGAGGGTGGTTGGCGGAGGCGTTTGCGCAGGTGTCGGTGGTCGCACGATAGATACTGATGCAGCTTGCTTTACGGACTTTTCTGGCCGCCACATTGTTTGCGTGTAGGCAAAGGGGTCATAATCCTCGGCATCAGGAGAAGCCATGCCATGTTCATGTGCACTCATGCCGGATTCAACATGTTCTCTCTCTTGAAAAGGCTGATATACCGGTGTGCTGGGTGCAGATGCCCCGGTATTTACAACGTCTGATGTTGTCGGAGAATGTGACAGAAGAGGATATCGTCTGTTCCTAAGCGTGTTGACGGCGGATTCTAGCATGACATCCGAAGACTCATCCTTGAAGTATACAACAAGATCTTCCATCGGGGGAAATATGGGCTGGAAGGAAACATCTCTGGGCTTATCGTTTTGTGTATCTGTGCCCCGGTCAACGTAGTTTGGTCTAGGGTTCTCTGGTGCCTTCGGGGCTCTCTCTCTCCTCTTTTCAGCTGGAACTGGTTCCATTTTCCCGATGGACCGACGTGATTTTACCATGACGGTTCGGGGCTTGTCAACAAGGCTTATTAGACTCAATCTGCGATCCTGAGCATCTGAAGCCGAAATTACCGAATGGCGGTGTTGCCAATCCCTAGGAGTATCTGGTTCTGCTAGCCATGATTCTGAGGGGATGCAAGGATCCCGGAGCTTAGGGCTAGCATTATAAATCCTGCCCAGGGATTTTACACGGCATATTGAATTCCGCGAGCTAGGATTTCTCATGTCGAAGACAGCGGCCTCTCCATAGACAATATTGTCAGATGACCGAAGGCTAAAGGCTTCGGATGTAGGCGAGACAGCCGCTGCTTCTGGCTGACAATCAGGAGTGATGGACTCATATGCCTCCCCAATGCAGCTGGCGGGATAGAAGATGGTTGAAAAAGACGGCCCAAGTCGGGGCTTATCTACTGACGATTGTCCGGGTCTGCTGATCACCAGGCTTGGAGTGGGGGGCTCGCTAAAATTCTCTGTACTTTCGTCGGGGGCAACATCTTCATCTGGTCTTGCGAGGCCAAATACGTAGAAAGGCGTTGAATCCTCCAATTCGTCCGAAAACCCATACAATGGCAAACTCCAACTACGTGGTCGGGATGGTCGGCCCAGTGGGAACGTGTTGCAGGGTTGCAAGTTAGCCGTCTGGCGGTCAAGAGCGTCGGCTGCTCTCATGGCTCTTGTAATGGGATCTTCTTCCAATTCTTCTTTATCGTTAGCGGCTGTTGAATGCCCAAAAGCATATCGTTCCTCCCTACCCATGTTTGATATCTGCTTTTCCAGACCTGCTAAGCCATCTTTGGTGATCTCTTCGAATATGGATTCGGCTTGGCATCTATCACCGTGGGTTTCATGCTTCATAATTTCCTTGATACAGAGGGCTTGTGCTCCTGAGGTGCCTCCATTAATGAAAACCAGTCGTTTGTGGTTTGCAGTCGCGCCATTCAAGAAATTTTGTGCAGCCTCGGCCCGCGCCAAAAAAGCATCGTGAACTCTCCGAATAAAAGAAGGCGCGTCGAAGCATTGATCTTCGTCTTGGTCCCTGGGTTTGGCGTATGAATCGACACTTGGGAGGATAAGAACTTGCGGTGACGTGGGAAGAAGACGAAGCTGGGTTGACACGATGTCTGCCTTTCCCTCAAAAGCCACAATGCTGCCCATGTAACAATCCGGTTGAGTCGCCATGATTCAACGGCCAGCCCCAAGAGCTGCTCCACGTACGCAAGTAATAATGGATGAAATAGCCAAGTGATGTAGGCAAGAGGTAAATATCATACCCGATCTCGTCCTTGCTTTTGCGGCCCTCTCTCGTAAGGAAAGAAGCTGTAGAATGACAAGACCGGCCCGTGTTAGAATTTCTATAGCCCTCGCAGCACAAGTTGCACAAGGCCCAAGGAACGCGGCTTCCAGCCTATATCATGCTGCAGAATATATGTGAGCCCAGGTGTAAGCAGATCTAAGGTAGTGCTGGGTTCTTCTACACACGTTCTAGTATTCCTGAAATACCTGTTGAATAGGATTTGCTCGATTTGAGAGGATACAATAGTTAGGACGGCGCAACAGACTGGTTTCTTGCAGATACGCAGTTATTCAGCAGTCCGCGTGTACAAAATCATAGAAGAAAAAAAGGAATATGGCAGTTCGTTCAACGGTCGGACAGACCACGGAGTATGGGGTACGGGGAATGGAGTACGGAATATTCAGAAGACTGCTTGAACGGTGACGACGAAAGAAACAAAGACAAAGAACGTGGATATGGAAAAAAGAAAATGGGAAGAAAAGAACAGAACAGAAAAGCAATTTTCTCTCGGTTTGAGTTCCGCCCAGCTACCAACTCGCGTGCGGCCAATGCCACCTGCACAGAGCTTTCCCTTTCTATGTACTTTGTATGACAAAAAAAGTCCATCACATCACGCCCCCACACCATCCTCCAGGCCTCACGGAACAAGACCATCCCAGCCCACCCCCACGGGCAGAACTGGGCCGAACAGCCCTCCGGCAAGGGTGCT